GCTCAGTTGTGTCCGACTCTTCGCGACCCCACGGACTGCAGCCCACCAGGTACTTCCAGCCATGGGATTTTCCAGGCAGGAGTACTGGAGTGGATTGCCATTGCCTTCTCCGACAAAGATGAAGAGAATTCAGAAGAGAAGGGATAGGTTTTTCACTAAATGGTTATGAAATAATTGAACTGTGCTTAGTTGCTCAGTCATGTCTGACTCTTTGTGACCCTACAGACTGTAGCCTACCAGGCTCTTCTGTCCATGGGGATTCTGCAGGCAAGAATACTGAAGTGGGTTGCCATGCCCTCCTCTTCCAGGGGATCTTCCCAATCCAGGAATTGAACCCAAGTCAAACACATGAACTTTGAACCACATTTTGTGACATATGTAAAAATTAACACTAATCACTTAGGTCTCAAACTAGAACTTATAGAAGAAAACATAGAAGAAAATTTTGCGATCTTGAGTTAATAAAAGCCTTTTCAGACATGAAAAACATGGTCCGTAAAAGAAAAATTTGACAAATTTGACTTGGTTAAAATTTAAAACTTCTGCTTTTCAAGACATACTATTAAGAGAATAAAAAGACAAACTACAGGCCTGAAAAAGGTATTTGCAAAGTATAAATCTGATACAGGGCTTGTCTCAAGAGTATATAAAGAACTCTCAAAACTAAATCAATAATAGGAAAAAAGCACCAATTAAACAAATGGACAAAAGATTTGAACAGATGTTTCACCAAAAGCTGTATAGATGGCAAATAAGGATATGAAAAATATACTTGATATCATTAGTTATTAGAAAAATGTGAATTAAAACCACAGTGAGATACCACTATATACCAGTTAGAATGGCTAAAATTAAAAGAACTGACCCTCATAAAGTTGCTGAGTATGTGAGTTAATTAGAACTCTCATACACTGCTAGTTTCAATGCAAAATTGTGCAGCTGCTTTGGAAAACCATTTGGCAGTTGCCTAGAAATTTAAACTTGTACCACCATATGACCCAGTCATATCTAAGTTATTTACCCAAGAGGGAAAAATCATACAAATACTTGACATAAATCTTTAGAGTGGGTTTCTATATAATAAGCAAAAGCTGGAAACAACTCACAACCCAAATATCTATCAACAGGTGAATAAATAAATTCTGTAATGACTGTATGATGGAATGCTCAGTAGTAAAAAAATGAAATATTGATAACACACTAACAAGGAATGTCAAATTAATATTGTGAATTAAAGAAGATAAAAGAATATTCTGTATGATTGCATTTACATAAAACTCTAGAAAATTTTAAAATTATCTATAGCGACAAAGTATATCAGTGTTTATATATGGGAGGAACTTTGGGAGTGATGAATATGTTCATTACCTTGACTGTGGTGATGATGTTACAGTAAAGTATTTCTTGTTTTTGTCAGAAAATGAATTCAAAAATCTTTAAATTTAGTAAACATTGATTAGTAAAAAGAAGCACATCTAGATTTTTCCCCTCAAAAAAAGAACATTCTGGTTTTTCTTTTTCAGTAAGAATTTAAGTAGAAATTTAGGTGTGAAGTTTGCAGTTTTGCTAATATGTACTTTTTTTTTTTTAAACTTCAGGGTCTTGCCTATTTGCATACTAAAGGCAAAATGCATAGAGATATCAAAGTAAGTCTATTTAAACTTAATTTAAACTCAATATGTTTAAGACTCACAGGCACAGGGAACAGATTTGTGGTTTTCAAGGGAAAGGTGGATGGGGGGAGGAAGTACTGGAAGTTTGGGATTAGCAGGTATAAACTCTTATATATACAGTGGATAAACAATAGGTCCATACAGTACAGTGAATTCTTGATAAACCATAATGGAAAAGAATATTCCTTTAAAATGTCTGTATGTGTATTATTCAGTCACTTTGCTGTATGGCAGAGATTGGTACAACATTGTAAATCAACTACTTCAATAGAAAATAATAATAACTTTTAAATTGATAATTTTATTGAAAGGAATTTTATGATACTAATTTAATAGCATTTATATTTTTGCTTTAGGGTGCAAATATTTTATTGACGGATCATGGTGATGTAAAATTAGGTATGTTATTTCAAATTTCTAAAAATTATTTTCCAGAAAATTTTTAATAAAAATTTAAATGAGAATTAACATTGTATAAATTTAATATTCATATGTATTAAGAGCCACAATAATGTTCACCTTTATTTATTTATTTTTTTAATGTTCACCTTTTAACCCAGTAATTTTACTAATCCTGAGATTCAGTTTAAGGAAATTAATCCTAAAGATAAAAAATCGGTATTTGCTAAAGTTTTAATCATAACTACTTATAATAGGAACAAATGGAAACATAGGTCTAGCAGTAGAAAAACTGTTCAGCTGTGATAAATCAGCTTATGGAACATTATTCAGTCATTAAAATTAATAGTTAAAAAAAAAGAGTTAAATTGCCTAATGTGTTAAATGACAAAAATAAACTATATGAGTCTTTAGTTTTTTACAACCATATTTAACAACAATAAAAGAAGTTTATCTACAGATAAAGGGACTTTTAAAAATAGCACTGCAATACTAACCTAGTTGTGTTAGAGTAAAAGGAATCCAGGTGGATGGTTTTTTCCCAATTTAAGTTACTTGTAATGAAAAGTTTTTTAATAACTTTGTTCTTAATAAAGTGCCAGTAAGTTATTTTCTTATAATGATTATGTTTTGAACTAAATAGGAAGGGTTTAGGTATTCAATTTATATTTATATTCAATTTATATACATTTCTCTAAGTATTGCTATCTGAATTATTAATAATGATGTCTCTGAGGATGAAATTTAGAAATGGTGGTGGTTTTATTGAAAACTAACATTTTCTGTTCTGTTTTTACCCCATCAGCTGACTTTGGTGTAGCTGCAAAAATAACAGCTACTATTGCAAAGAGAAAATCTTTTATTGGCACCCCTTATTGGTAAGATATTATTATGATTGAATTTTGTCCTTTTCATCTCTTTAAGATTAGTGAACAACATTGATGCTTAGTAATACAGTTTGTACTTGACTGAAGCCTGGAGACATTCAGGTTCCTTGACACTATCATAGATCTGATGGGTTACAGAACTTTGATACTCATTTTCCTTGTCCAGCTTTTCCTGTGTTAAAGTGCCAGTAATTCCTCCTGTCCCTGGGATACTGTGTTGGGAGGTCTCATAGGAGTGAAATTTTCAAAAGAAAATTGTGTTATAATCTCGTGTCATTTTATTACCTTTTCTTTTGATATTGCATCTGTTTTAATCTAGGATTTCATTTGCTTGTCGTTAAAATTCATGCATCCTATCCTTAGTTTTTACCAGCCCTCCTGCTTCTACTACATCCTACCAATTACAGACAAAATAATCTTCTAAAACACTGCTTTCATTATATCCTTAAACACACTTAAGTTGAGAGACACTGTGTCATATAAAGTTTCTGTAACCTAAGTGCACATAAAAAGTGACTTCTACCTTGTGAATATTCAGTATAAATATAAATTAATTTAAAAATAATAAACACTCAAAAATCCTAAGTAATATCATCTATGCTTTATAACTTTAGATGCCATTTTCATATACCACTGAGTGGTGGCTCAGATGGTAAAGAATCTGCCTGCAATGCAGGAGACTGGGTTCAGTCCTTGGGTTGTGAAGATCCCCTGGAGGTGGTCATGGCAACCCACTCCAGTATTCTTGCCTGGAGAAACCCCGTGGACGGAGGAGCCCGGAGTGCTACTGTCCATGAGGTCACAAAGAGTTGTACACACAGTGATTAAGTATACACAGCAACTCCCAAACAGATAACTCCAGCTCAGCTACTCAGATGACCCTCAGTCCAGTGTATTTTCAACAGTTGTTTAGTAATAGCACTACTTCAGTATCCACAGATATTTTATTCTCAGTCTCTTCAGCCAGCCCCTTGATTCTATCCTCCCTGCCACTGCCTTTGAAAAGTCCTTTTTCTCCCCCTCGTATTTTTCAGATAGTCTCCTAATTCATCTGCCTGATTCTGGTTTCACCTCCTCTCACACCATCCTTCATGTTGCCATGAGTTTTATATCATAATTACATTTTCCATTTTCACATTAAAGTCTAATCTTTCTCGTATAATCAGTAGACCATTCATTTTCTAGCCTGTCTCTTTGAGGTTTATTTTCCAAATACTTTCTAGACCCTCTCAAACTGTGATGAATGACTTCTTTTTTTTTTCATATTTTGTCTACCACAGACTCTTTTACCAAATAAATTTAAAATAAATTGCTAAAAAAAATGACCATTTATCTGGATAAGAATACTTACTTTCAGTTTCTGTACTTGCCAGAGACTGATAGCAAACTGCCTATGACCCTGTGTCTACCGTAGATCATACATTGAGCAGCACTGTCCTGTCACCTCTGTGTTCCATGTTGTCCTGTTTCCCTGCATTCGCACTTGTTTCCTCTGACTAAAATAGTCCAGGTTCCTCAAGCCCCCTCAACTCCCTGCTAATTTATTCTGTGAGTCTCACCTCCTTTGAGGAACTTTTCTCTGACCTTCACAGAGATTTAGGTGGTCTTTTTGTTTTCCCATGTTATAAAACAGGATTCACAAGATTTTGAGAACCAAAGTTTTAGAAGCGTGTGTATGTGTGTATATGTGGTCTTTATTAAGTTTTTTCTGTTAATAATAAAGTTTCTTCTTTTCTAGTAAATGCCTCTCAGCCTCTTTCCCTCCAAGAAGTCTAGTGAATATAACAAAAGAACAAATTTCATATAATTTTTTAAAAACAAAAATGTTATATTCATTGATTCCTTCTAGGATGGCCCCGGAAGTTGCAGCAGTAGAAAAGAATGGTGGCTACAACCAACTCTGTGATATCTGGGCAGTAGGAATAACAGCAATTGAACTTGGAGAACTTCAACCACCCATGTTTGATCTTCATCCCATGAGGTGTTCTCAGTATTTACAATTACTCAGTTAGTAGTAAGGTCTTCAGGGAGAGTGAAGTACTGACAACTTGGCTATTCCAAGCTCATTTTAAAGTATATTGAAATAATTAAAGTATTCTGAGAGACTTAGGAATAATCTTGTCTAAAACCTGGTCTGTTGCTCTTTCTAACACAACATAGAATCTGTCTGAAACTTTTCCTTAAAACAAATTTCCTTTAATAAACATACTAGGGCTCTTTCCCATCTTGCAAGATGGTGGGTGAAAAGGCTGAGAAGCCAGATACTAAGGAGAAAAAACCTGAAGCCAAGAAGGCTGATACTGGCAACAAGGCTAAAAAGGTGAAAATGGTGAAGAAAGTTAAGAAGGAGAAGCCCCACTGCAGCCGAAACCCTGTCCTGGTCAGAGGAATTGGCAGATATTCCCGATCAGCCATATACTCCAGAAAGGCCTTGTACAAGAGAAAGTATTCAGCAGCTAAATTCAAGGTCGAAAAGAAAAAGAAGGTTCTGGTTCTTCCTACTGTCACTAAACCAGTTGGTGGTGACAAGAATGGTGGTACCCGAGTGGTCAAACTTCGCCAAATGCCTAGGTATTACCCTACTGAAGATGTGCCTCGGAAACTGTTGAGTCACGGCAAGAAACTGTTCAGTAAGCACGTGAGGAAGCTTCGCACCAGCATCACTCCTGGGACCATTTTGATCATCCTCACGGGGTGCCACAGGGGCAAGAGGGTTGTTTTCCTGAAGCAGCTGGGCAGTGGCTTGCTACTTGTGACTGGGCCTCTATCCCGAGTCCTCTGCGTAGAACACACCAGAAATTTGTCATTGCCACCTCCGCCAAAATCAATATCGGTGGTGTGAAAATCCCGGAACATCTCACTGACACTTACTTCAGGAAGAAGAAGCTGTGTAAGCCGAGACAACAGGAGGGTGAGATCTTCGACACAGAGAGAGAGAAATATGAGATCACAGAGCAGCGCAAGGTTGATCAGAAAGCTGTGGACTCACAAATTCTGCGAAGAATCAAAGCTGTCCCTCAGCTCCAGGGCTACCTCCGCTCTGTGTTTGCTCTCACAAATGGAATTTACCCTCACAAAGTAGTATTCTGAACTTCTTGCAAAGAACCTAATTAAATAACTTGTCCATTTAAAAAAAATAAATAAACATACTCAGATATAGCAGTTATCATTTTAAAAGTTTTAAGTCTTTTTTATTCTTCCATTGATTAAAAACATTTCTTTTTTTTGTCCTAAGTAGAACTATAAACAAATGATAGAATGCAGATGAGTTTTTTATTTCTGTTCTCATTTGATTTTGTTTCTTTTTACTTTCTCTAGGAATGATGAAGAGGTAGATGCTTACTATAATCATTTATATTTTAGAGTATATTATCTTAGAAAAAATATTTGAGAGACTGTGAAGGGGTTTTTAATATTTTGAAGGAAAAGATAAATTGGGCCAAAATCTAAATTTTTAATGTAAATAGTATAAAGTTAAAAAGAAAAATCAGCAGAATAGGGGAAAGTATTCTCCCAACATATAATATTAATTATTGATATTTATTACATAGATAACTCATTCAAAGACTCTAAGAGCAAAAGATAAATTGTTTATGAGCAAGTATCAGATACTAAAGAAACATGGAAAACTAACCTCACAAGTACCTAAGAAATATGTTAGTTCAGGATGGGAACACATGTACACCCATGGCTGATTCATGTGAATGTATGGCAAAAACCACCACAATATTGTAAAGTAATTAGCCTCCAATTAAAAAAATTATAATAATAACAACACCAAAAAAAAGATATATAAGTTAAAAGATACCTGCTTTTAGCTGGAATGCTGACAAGTATAGACCTTTAGGAAAATAATTTGGATGTTATTTGTTATGAACAGTACAAATGTTGCATTGATTCTACACTTGTGAAAATTATACTTGGGAAATAATTCAGGGAAAGTCTAAGAATCTGCTTCAGGCTTGCAGGGGGAATATCTAAATGTGCAGTCATAAGGGCAGCTAATACCATATATGTAAACCAAAGCAGCATGGGAAATTGATTATCAGGGAAGAAAGCAGAACATAGTGTTACCTATTATAATAATTTAGTAATTGGTTACTATTAAGATAAAGACTGAAAAGAAGAGCAGAAAATTTTAAATAATGTCTTAGGGTGAGAGGAATATAGACTTTTTTCTTTTCAATTTTCTTTTATATATGAATCATTTAATTTTTAGAAAGAAAAGATCTTTGGTATTTAATAAAAAAGACTAAGGAGTTTGCTAGAAAACATTGGAGTTTTGTAGGAAATATTGAAATAAAACTTCCTTTTAAAATCCTTCATTCTTCTACCCCCATAGTCCATTAAAAAGATTGGTCAAAGATTAATTTGTGGAGAAGGAAAGTCCTCTTGCAGGTTGATTTCTGTTTCATTCAAAAGGGGAAACAGACAAAGAAGTGGATGTAATTTGCCTATTCACCCAAAATAATTGTAGAGGCTAAACATACAACCTAATGTTAGAGTAGTATATCATCTCTGTGTGTTAACACAATGATACACAATTATATAGATTTATGCTTAAGATATAATACTAGTTATATATGTAAGAGTATGGTAGTAAAAACCTTCTCAAATGTTTAGTTGCTTTGCCTTGTAAATAAGAGCTTGTTGGAAATTTAAATATATTCTCTAGAGCCAGGAGAAATTTTCCATAAGGTATCCAAAATATAAAACATTAATTTCCATATTCTATATCAGTTATCTTGAGTACCTACATATGTAATAATCTTGAGTAAATTGATTGCAGACTTGATTCTGATTATTGTATGTAATAATAAAAGTGTTTTTTATTGCTCTTTAACTGAAATTTTTATTCCAGGGCCCTCTTCTTAATGTCAAAAAGTAATTTTCAGCCTCCAAAACTAAAGGACAAAACAAAATGGTGAGTTATAGTTATATAGGTTTATAGAAGTTTATGGCTGAAAGAGACAGAGGTTTAATTCCCTTATTTTAAAGTTGGTAAAGCTGAAGCTCAGAGCATTAAACTGTTTCCCTAAAGGTACACATCTAATTTACTTGCAGAGCTATGGCAAGGATCTAAGTTTATTTCCTGGTCAGTATTTTATTATAATGTACTGCTTTGGCAGCTTGAATAGGAGATGTAGTGAGGAGATGATTTAAAATGAATACATTAAGATTTTAGAGACTGATTTTGCCTGTATTCCTTTACTTCCACTAATGACATGTTGACTTTCATGAGAAGTAATAGGACACGGTTTCCTAGATGTAGTGACACTTGAAATCAATCACCATTGGCTTTTCTCTAGCTATTTTCCCTTATATTCAAACGATTATTACTCATTTGCATCCTGATGTTTTCTCATACAAAGTAAAACAGTTTGCCTATTCTTATAGTCCATAAGGATGTCTTCAATTAGATGATAAAAATTGAAAATTATTTTTCTGGTAATGTCTTCCCATACATTTAATAAGAGAAACTTATTGTACAAATAAAAGTTTCCAAATTCTTAGATTTAGTGATTCTTCATCTATTACACATGGATCTCTTGGGAAATCTTGGGAGATATATGAGCCCCTGGAATTCTTTACGTGTATTCATTTTTTTCTGGAGAGACAATGCATATGTTATTTCAGATTCTAAAAAGTCTGTCCCCAAAACAAGTTCTAAACTACTTTTTTAATGTTTCATTGGCCTGCCTGTGCATAGTATTATTTAGGAGCCAGGCTATTCTGGGGCTAGTACCAGGAATGAAAAGCAAATCCCATTGTAGAAGTTAAGGAGTTTATATCCTACTGCTAGCTGTATTCCTTTGTGTTGACACTGTGTTGTTTTTTTTTTCTCTTGTTCCTTGTAAGCCTAAGTTCCTAAGCAACTGGAATTGGAGGACTTTATGGCAGGAATGACTGAATATTCATTCAAGGATGAATGACTATTAGCTAAAATAGCTACATTCATAGTGAGATTCCAGAACAGTTATTACCATTGAAGTACCTTTGCCAGTCTCAAGTACTCTCACTCCATGATATGAGGACTGCAAGCTATCAATGTAATGTAATGATTTGATTTCTCTAAAGAGAACTGCTTTGTCATTACTGTCATTGCTAATGACTAAGCTTTTTCTTTTTGGTTCTTGCCCAGTCTTTCCTCCTGTGGAATCTTGGCAATGGCACAATACCTCTCTTTGTCATTAATTCATAATCAAAATGCAGTTCCTTTAATTAAGTAATTTTTTATTAATTCATATTTTGTCCATGCCACACAACTTTCAGGATCTTCGTTCCCCCACCTGAGACCAAACCAAGGCCCATGGCAGTGAAAGTGCCAAGTCCTAGTCATTGTAGTATATTGGCAGGGAATTCCCAGATTGCTATATATCTTCTTCTTTTCCCCATTTCATCAATACAGGTGGCAGGAAAACTCTTGGTTACTAAGATCACTCCCTCTTCTTTTCCGTTGTTCCTAAGAACTTCAGTGACTTTTTAAAGATATAAACAGTCTGTTTAATTACCCACCCTACCTTGACGCCACCCAACAATTTGGGTGTAGCAAAACATTTTTATATCATATAAATTAAGCAGTGAGAAAAGGTCATTTTGACTCCTAAGTGGTTATAACACAAGGTTATTAACCTTATAGATGACACCCCTACTCATTTCTAGTTTTTAGTGTACATTTTAGAGGTTATATATATTAGTATTTTGTTCACTAATTGTATTTTACTTAACAGATGAACCTGGTATATTCTCCAAGGAAATACTCTGTTTCGGGTTTCGTTTTTTGGTTTATGTACATAGAGCTAAGAGGCCTAAGAAAAAAATCATATGTTTCAGTCTTTCTAACTGCTTGTAAGTTAATTTTATTTAGTAACAAAAAAGGACTAATATTGATGAAATATATTTGTACATGTCTGTTTTTATTTGAAGGTCATCAACATTCCATAATTTTGTCAAAATAGCACTAACCAAAAACCCCAAAAAAAGACCAACCGCTGAAAGACTTCTGACTGTAAGTCATTGAATTTATAGCAGTATTTTCTATAGTCATGCAATAGTTAGGCATATCACTAGAACAACAGCATTCAGGTTTTTAATATAAAAGTCTTAGTGATCTGTTACAGCAAATATTATGTAAGAGCCAAATGGTGTGTATTATAGGCTTTGTGAGACATACAGTCTGTTGCGTCTTCTCAGTTTTGCCACGGTAGCACAAAAGCAGCCATAGCCAATACATGAAGAATGTGGCTTTAATACCCAATAAAACTTCATTCACAGAAGGAGGCAGTGCACCAGATTTTGCCAATGGTCTGTAGTTTGCTCACCCCTGCCTTGGAGAAAACTCTTTAAAATGTTGCTTTCATCTAAAATTAATTGCTTTTCTCTGTTTTGGTTTCTTATGTAAATTTATAGAATGCTTCCGTATATGTGTTTATAAAATACTTTTATATTAGAAAAAGTTGATTGTAACAGTCTAAGAAAACTTTGTTTAAATGTTATAAAATTTAATTATGTCTTTCTATACTAACATAATTTTATTGAATTAAATATATGTAAGCACAGAATATACATGTTTTTTTCTTACTGTGATATGGACTGTACCACAGTATTTATTTGCATGTGCATAATGACATGTGTAATAAATGTCATTGTTATAGCCAAGGTTGTAATTTGACAGCCTAATATAGATTAGTTAACTTTACATAGAGAAATTATTCATATTATAAACTTACCTCACAATGGTTCTTTAGCTTTATAATATTTAATTATGGATTTTCTCATTAATATTTTTATTAATACATTCTTTATTAGCACTGATAGGCTCCCATATGCTTATCTCTGATACTTACTAAATGGGAAAGAACAAATAACAGTCTCTATAAGCCATAGATATAAATGCATACTCATGAAGTTTTGTTTTGTTTTTATTTAGCATACATTTGTAGGGCAGCCAGGTCTCTCTAGGGCCCTGGCAGTTGAACTGTTGGACAAAGTGAATAATCCAGACAACCATGCTCATTACACTGAAGGAGACGATGATGACTTTGAGGTAAAGAATGTTTGCAATCTAATAACTGAAAATAAATGTTTAATGTGGCCTTAGAGTTTGTTTTTTAATTCACTCTTTTAAGTTAGTTAA